TCCGCAGGCCAACGCTCTATCCACTGAGTCAAACCGGCTAGAGCCTGCTTTCAATTCTTTTGAGTATATACCCAGAAGCGACATTGTAAGATTATATGGTAATGCTTGTTTTTAATTAATGTTTAATTTCTTGAGGAACTGCCATATTGTCTCCATAGAGGCTGCATCATTTACATTCCCACCAAAGTGCACAAGGATTCCAGTTCTCACCAACTTGTTTTATTTTTTTTATGTTTTATTCATTTATTTTAAAGCAAGCATTCATTGAGTATCCACTATCCCAAGACTCTATACTTGGCAGAAACTGGGGCTGCCAAGATGTCAAGTCTCAGGAACCTAGAGCACAATCGGGGAAACAATCACATTAAGGGATAACTTATACAGCTAGAAGCATGAAAAGATCTGGTATACAGGCATACCTCGGAGATATTTCACGTTCAGTTCCAGACCACCACAGTAAAGCAAGTTGTAATCATTTTGCTGGTGGACGGCCTTGCTTTCAGTTTGTTTTTTTTTAAAAAAAGCAACACCTGTGAAGCGCAATAAAGTGAAGCACAATGGTTTGCCTGCACTGTGAGATGGTGGCAGGAGAGACCACAGCCAGGGACTTGAAGTTTGGAGACACTTCTGAAGCGCCAAGGTCGGGGTAATAGTGGGAGAGGGCGCCATCTGGTGGAGGACGGCGTGTTTAGACATTCCCTTCTCTTCTCACTCCTATTTTCCTAACTTGTTCTACCCAGCATTTCCTTCTGGAATTTCTCCAAGGGCCACAGTGAGGTTTATGAGTCAATTATGTGGCCGTACATACCATCACGTATAGGTGCAAAGACTAACATCTCAAAAATGTCAATTTAAGGTATTATCCTCTTTTACTATTTTATTTTCTCGCTTGGTTTCTTCCACCTGGGGAAAGCATCAGTGGCACCAGGATTTGAGGCAAAGAATGAAGACTCAGAACGCTGGAGAAGGGAAAGAAAGAACTAAGAGAACTTGATTATAAAACATCCAAGTCAGACCTCAGAAAGCGGAGTACAGCTGACCCATCTCTAATTACCAGGGGAAGCCTTTGTTCGTTGATGTTGTCCATGACTGTTGTCCCTTTCTGGTCTTTAGAGGCTCCTTGTATTTTCCAATCATCCCCCCAAATAATATCTGAGAGTTCTTGAATAATATCCCTCAATTATGTCATTTCCAGAAGAGAGAAGCCACCGACAGCTTAAGGCCAGTGGCCCAGGCAGACCAAAGGAGGAGTAACTGAAATTTACCTTTGGAGTAAATTGCTGATGGTGAGATTTCAGGTAGTTAAGATATTGAAGAAAAAAATTCTTCTTTTATACTTCCTCTAAACTCATCCTAAAGAGGCAGAGTCCGGCAGACAAGCCTGGGCCGGCCACAGAGCCACGCCCATTCCCTTAACAAGTAGGGGTATTTCTGAATATAGTAGTAGTTAGTGGTATACAGCAAGCCCCCTTATCTGCCATTTTATTTTCCACTGTTTCATTTACCCTGGTCCAAAAACCTTAAATGGGAATTTACAGAAATAAGCAATTCATAAATTTTAAATTGTGTGCTGTTCCAAGCAGTGTGATGAAATCTTGTGCTGTTTTGCTTTGTCCTGCCAGGTATATGACTCATACCTTTGTCCAGTATATGCACACTGCATATACTACAGGCCCGTTAGCCACTTAGCTGACTTGGTTATCAATCAACTGTTGTGGCATTACAGTGCTTGTGTTCAAATAATACTTATTTTACCCAATAATGACCTCAGAATGCAGGAATAGAGATACTGGTGATTTGGATATACCAAAGAGAAGCTGTAAAGTGCTTCCTTAAATGAAAAGGTAAGTATGCATATGTAATACCCTTTGTAATACTTTAAGCAATAAAAAAAATTAAAAAAAAAGAAAAGGTAAGTATAGTACAATAAGATATTTTGAGAGAGACCCCATTCACATAACTTTTATTACAGTTTATTGTTATAATTGTTCTATTTATTAGTTATTATTGTTAATCTCTTACTGTGCCTAATTTATGAATTAAAGTTTACCATAGATAGGCATGTTTGGAGAAAACATAGTAAATATATATATAGGACTTCGTACTACGCTGGAGTTTCAGGCATTCACTGGAGGTCTTGGAACATATCCACCCCCACCCTCCCTCGGCCCCCAACCCACTCCCCATAAACTGGAACTACTGTATGTGGGATTCTATTCTACATTCTGGCCCTTTGAAGGGAAACGATTGCTTCCACCTGGGGCTATCAGGGAAGGAATACAGACATTTGACTCCTGCTTAGATAAATAGATTGGATTGGGACCAAAGCTAGAGTGGGGGAAGGGCATTCCTCCGCAAGCTCACAGCACAGGCGAGGCAATGCCCGTTTAGTTGGCTTAAGTTAAGAGACTCTTGAAGGGGAGGAGGAGGGGATGAGGCCAGTAAATTAAAACTAAGAATGGCGGCGGCATGATTGGGTGCACCAGAGTCCGTTGACACATGAAGTTCAAATCATGCTTCCAGTTGCATGTTGGCTGAGTGACATGGATGAAGTTTCTTAACATGGCTCAGATTCCTCAACTGAAAACGACGATAACCCTAATAGGGTTGTTGGGGGAGGACTACCTAAGATATTGCCTATGGAGAGCTTAGTCCAGTGCCTGGTGGCTGGTAAACCCTCAGTTAAGTCCTAGCATTTTTTTTTTTAACTTTTAAAAGATAAATATTTTTATTGAATTTAGAGAGAGGAAGGGAGAAGGATAGAAACATCGATGAGGAACTTCATCCATGGGTTGCCTCCTAACGCCCCCTACTGGGGATCTAACCCTCAACCCAGGCATGTGCCCTGTCCAGAATCCAATTGTGACCTCCCGGTTAATGGGCCGAAGCTCAACCATTGAGCCACACCAGCCAGGTGCTAGCATTATTATTAATGCAAAGCCATCGGGTGTGTGCTTTAGGGGAGATTAACTGGACAACCAGAGAGGGGACTGAGTTGGGAAGGGCCTGCCCTTGCACCTATGCACAGTAGCTGCTCAGGAAACACTGAACAGAATTCTATTTTCTGCCAGGCTTACGAGGCATACAGGTTTCTGCCTTTCGTGGGCGCAAGGTCCCGAGGAGGGAAGTTAAATGCCGAAGTTGGGGAGGAGGATGCAGGCGTAAATTCTTCAGTTTATCTTCTTTCCAACTGTTCCCTGTCGGAATCTTCCAGAGCAAAGCAGAGGGGGCAAAGGACCGGGTTCCGAAGCGCCAGGCCCCAGGGCTTCGCAGGATGTGGCGAAAGGATGTTGCGCAGGCGCAGAGCGAAGTCAGGGCGGGGCGCGGGAGGGAAAGCGCGCAGGCGCAGTGCCGACAAGAGCGTTTACCTGGCCGGAGTGGGCGGAGCTAAACCCGGGAGCGGACCGGAGGCGGGGCGAACGCGATGACGTCACGGGCACGCCGCCGCGCAGCGCAGCGAGGAAGCGGCGGC